AGGATCTTGCTACATTTCTTAGGCTGGGCTACAGTTTGCCATCTTCTCACCTCCATCTCCCCGAGTGCTATGATGACAAACGCGTGCCACTAGGAAGTGCTGCATGCACATCCTGAGCTAGAATTAAGAGACGGATACACTTAAGCACAGTCCAAAGCATGCTGGGATGTGTCCTACATATATAGTTACAAGCCAAGGATTATAGGATGCCATGATAAGAGGCTGCCTCTGGCTGGAGAAACCGGACAAATCATCCTTGGGGAGACAGAACTTGAAAGATGTATAAATTTGCAGAGAAAGGGTGTGGAGGAGGATGGAGGATCTGAGATGGAGAGAAAGCAGGGTCTGATCATGGCATGGGGTACAGCTGGGTTTCCCTGGACCCAGAGGATGCAGACTAGAAAATGAAGGTGGAATTGACAGGGCTCTGGGATTGGGGTGATCTTGTTACAGGGTCCAGACTTCAGCTGGAAGCTGTTGTAGAATCACATGAGGTGATTCTGCGGATATTTATGGAAGGGGGATGCAGGCTTGATTGGCTGGGGGTCGTCCATCTGTTGGTGGAAAGGGAGTTGGGGCTATTTTCTCAGTTCGTCTATTCAAGGCCTACAAAGCAGGCTAAGAGCTGACTATTAAAATGTATGAGAAATTAAGACATCACTTTGGGTGTCCAGGCAGCAAACTCAGATGCCTACAGGGCCAGCAAGTCACAAAAATCAGCAAGAAGCAGCAAGCTATACCAGGTCTCCTGTTTCAAGTGATGGCCCCTCCTCAGTTCCGTGGGGCCACAGCTCTGGCTTCTCAACAAAACTTGAAAATCAAGACTTTTCTGTGAGAGGTCTAGATACGTAAGTGTAGGAACTCGTTCTTTTTTTAAATGTACAGGCCAGGCAAGACATCTGCAGACTAGCAGTTTGTAACTCAGAGTTATGAAATAATAGGACAATTTTAGACGTTCTAGAAAAATTCCACTTGGGTTGAATCGCACAGTAATAGCAGAAGAACTAACTCATTTGAGGGGATAACTTTTATAGAAAAAGCAACTGCAATGCTAACTTCTAGCTGTGTTATTTAAACATGAAAATTCAAATCCTAGCCTCCCTTAACAATAGCAATGCGGGAGGTTACCAGGGAGGTAGCTCAGTGGAATAAGTGCTTGCCCTTGCCAGGCAAGCGCAAGGTCCTGAGT